GTTTTGTACCAGTACCATGCTGTTTTGGTTACTGTAGCCTTGTAGTATAGTTTGAAGTCAGGTAGCTTGATGCCTCCAGCTTTGTTCTTTTGACTTAGGATTGTCTTGGGAGATGCGGCCTTTTTTGGTTCCATGAACTTTAAAGAAGTTTTTCAATTCTGTAAAGAAGCCTATTGGTAGCTTGATGGGGATGGCATTGAATCTATAAATTACCTTGGGCAGTATGGCCATTTTCATTATATTGATTCTTCCTATCCATGAGCATGGTATGTTCTTCCATTTGTTTGTGTGTCCTCTTTTATTTACTGAGCAGTGGTTTGTAGTTCTTCTGAAGAGGTCCTTTACATCCCTTGTGTTGGATTCTAGGTATTTTATTCTCTTTGAAGCAAATTGTGAATGTAAAAGTTCATTCTGATTTGGCTTCTGGTTTGACTGTCACTGTGTATAAGAATGCTTGTGATTTTTGCACATTAATTTTGTATCCTTGAGATTTTGCTGGTTGCTTATCAGCTTAAGGAGATTTTGGGCTGAGACAATGGGGTTTTCTAAATATACAATCATGTCGTCTGCAAACAGGAACAATTTGACTTCTCTTTCTCCCTAACTGAATCCCCTTGATTTCTTTCTCTGCCTGATTGCCCTAGCCAGAACTTCCAACACTATGCTGAATAGATGGGTGAGAGAGGGCATCCCTGTCTTGTGCCAGTTTTCAAAGGGAATTTTTCCAGTTTTTGCCTATCCAGTACATATTGGCTGTGGGTTTGGCTGGGCAAATAGCTCTTATGATTTTGAGGTACGTTCCATCAATACCTAATTTATTGAGCGTTTTTAGCATGAAGGGCTGTTGAATCTTATAAGCCTTTTCACCCATTGAGATAATGATGCTTCTTGGTCTTTGGTTCTGTTTATATGCTGGATTATGTTTATTGATTTGCACGTTGGAAACCAGCCTTGCATCCCAGGGATGAAGTCACTTGATCATGGTGATGCTTTTGATGTGCTGAATCCGGCTTGCCCAGTATTTTATTGAGGATTTTTGCATCGATGTTCATCAGGATATTGGCTCCAAAATCTTCTTTTTTTGCTGTGTCTCTGCCAGGCTCAGGTATCAGGATGATGTTGGCCTCATAAATGAGTTAGGAGGATTCCCTCTTTTCATTGATTGGAATAGTTTGCATGAAAATGGTACCAGCTCCTCCTTGTACTCTGTAGAATTCAGCTGTGAATCCATCTGGTCCTGGACTTTTTTGGGTTGGTAGGCTATTAATTATTGCCTCAATTTCAGAGCCTACTATTGGTCTATTCAGGATTCAACTTCTTCCTGGTTTAGTCTTGGAAGAGTGTAAGTGTCCAGGAAATTATCTGATTTCTAGATTTTCCAGTTTATTTGCGAGAGGTGTTTATAGTATTTCTGATGGTAGTTTGTATTTCTGTGGGACCGGTGGTGATATCCCCTTTATCATTTTTAATTGCGCGATTTGATTCTCTTTCTCTTTCTTCTTTATTAGTCTTGCTAGTGGTCTGTCAATTTTGTTGATCTTTTCAAAAAACCAACTCCTGGATTCATTGATTTTTTGGAGGGTTTTTTGTGTCTCTATCTCCTTCAGTTCTGCTCTGATCTTAGTTATTTCTTGCCTTCTGCTAGCTTTCGAATGTGTTTGCTCTTGCTTCTCTAGTTCTTTTAATTGCGATGTTAGAGTGTCAATTTTAGATCTTTCCTGCTTTCTCTTGTGGGCATTTAGTGCTATAAATTTCCCTCTACACACTGCTTTAAATGTGTCCCAGAGATTCTGGTATGTTGTATCTTTGTTCTCATTGGTTTCAAAGAACATCTTTATTTCTGCCTTCATTTCGTTATGTACCCAGTAGTCATTCAGGAGCAGGTTGTTCAGTTTCCATGTAGTTGAGCGGTTTTGATTGAGTTTCTTAGTCCTGAGTTCTAATTTGATTGCACTGTGGTCTGAGAGACAGTTTGTTATAATTTCTGTTCTTGTACATTTGCTGAGGAGTGCTTTACTTCCAATTACGTGGTCAATTTTGGAGTAAGTACGATGTGGTGCTGAGAAGAATGTATATTCTGTTGATTTGGGGTGGAGAGTTCTATAGATGTCTATTAGGTCTGCTTGCTGCAGAGATGAGTTCAATTCCTGGATATCCTTGTTAACTTTCTGTCTCGTTGATCTGTCTAATGTTGACAGTGGAGTGTTGAAGTCTCCCATTATTATTGTATGGGAGTCTAAGTCTCTTTGTAAGTCTCTAAGGACTTGCTTTATGAATCTGGGTGCTCCTGTATTGGGTGCATATATATTTAGGATAGTTAGCTCTTCCTGTTGAATTGATCCCTTTACCATTATGTAATGGCCTTCTTTGTCTCTTTTGATCTTTGATGGTTTAAAGTCTGTTTTATCAGAGACTAGTATTGCAACCCCCACTTTTTTTTGTTCTCCATTTGCTTGGTAAATCTTCCTCCATCCCTTTATTTTGAGCCTATGTATGTCTCTGCGTGTGAGATGGGTCTCCTGAATACAGCAGACTGATGGGTCTTGACTCTTTATCCAGTTTGCCAGTCTGTGTCTTTTAATTGGAGCATTCAGTCCATTTACATTTAAGGTTAAGATTGTTATGTGTGAACTTGATCCTGCCATTATGATATTAACTGGTTATTTTGCTCGTTAGTTGATGCAGTTTCTTCCTAGCCTTGATGGTCTTTACATTTTGGCATGTTTTTGCAATGGCTGGTACCAGTTGTTCCTTTCCATGTTTAGTGCTTCCTTCAGGGTCTCTTGTAAGGCAGGCCTAGTGGTGACAAAATCTCTAAGCATTTGCTTATCTGTAAAGGATTTTATTTCTCCTTCACTTATGAAACTTAGTTTGGCTGGATATAAAATTCTGGGTTTAAAATTCTTTTCTTTAAGAATGTTGAATATTGGCCCCCACTCTCTTCTGGCTTGAAGAGTTTCTGCCGAGAGATCTGCTGTTAGTCTGATGGGCTTCCCTTTGTGGGTAACCCGACCTTTCTCTCTGGCTGCCCTTAAGATTTTTTCCTTCATTTCAACTTTGGTGAATCTGGCAATTATGTGTCTTGGAGTTGCTCTTCTCGAGGAGTATCTTTGTGGCGTTCTCTGTATTTCCTGGATTTGAATGTTAGCCTGCCCTACTAGGTTGGGGAAGTTCTCCTGGATGATATCCTGAAGAGTGTTTTCCAACTTGGTTCCATTTTCCCCCTCACTTTCAGGCACCCCAATCAGACGTAGATTTGGTCTTTTTACATAATCCCATACTTCTTGCAGGCTTTGTTCATTTCTTTTTCTTCTTTTTTCTTTTGGTTTCTCTTCTCGCTTCATTTCATTCATTTGATCCTCCATCGCTGACATTCTTTCTTCCAGTTGATCGAGTCGGTTACTGAAGCTTGTGCATTTGTCACGTATTTCTCGTGCCATGGTTTTCGTCTCTTTCATTTCGTTTGTGAGCTTCTCTGCATTAATTACTCTAGCCATCAATTCTTCCACTTTTTTTTCAAGATTTTTAGTTTCTTTGCGCTGGGTACGTAATTCCTCCTTTAGCTCTGAGAAATTTGGTGGACTGAAGCCTTCTTCTCTCATGTCATCAAAGTCATTCTCCGTCCAGCTTTGATCCGTTGCTGGCGATGAGCTGCGCCCCTTTGCCGGGGGAGATGCGCTCTTATTTTTTGAATTTCCAGCTTTTCTGCCCTGCTTTTTCCCCATCTTTGTGGTTTTATCTGCCTCTGGTCTTTGATGATGGTGATGCACTGATGGGGTTTTGGTGTAGGTGTCCTTCCTGTTTGATAGCTTTCCTTCTAACAGTCAGGATCCTCAGCTGTAGGTTGTAGCTGTAGGAGATTGCTTGAGGTCCACTCCAGACTCTGTTTGCCTGGGTATCAGCAGCAGAGACTCAGTTGAAAATGCAGAAATCGCCGGTCTTCTGTGTCGCTCGCGCTGGGAGTTGGAGACTGGAGCTGTTCCTATTCGGCCATCTTGCTCCGCCCCCCCGAAGACTTGTTAAAGCATTGTTTCATTATATGTTTTATTCCTAGTCCTTGAGGAAAGAAAAAAAAAATTGCTTCTTATTCAGCTCTTTATTTATTGCACAGAAGTGGAATAAAGATACTCACAATGGAAAAATCTTAAAATTTCAAATCCTGCATAGTGAATGCAGTTTGTTCTGGAATAACGAGTATTAACCTGAAATATGAATATTACTTAAATTTGATTTTCTTGGGAAATCAAATCAATAAGCGCACTTTGAATAATGAATTGGTATAATTTTGAATTGTGTATAAAACAACTTAGGTTTTCTGAAAAATTGTTCCCAAGAAGCAGTTCAAGAATTGTAGTGTTGCTATAATTGGATGTACCCTATATTCACTAGAGGCAAAAGTAGTTTTAGACTACTTTTGGTTACCAGCTGGATATTTATAATAATCTGGAACATTAAGTGTACAATGAGAAAAAGTATGCCTTCCAGGAAGGGAAGAGTTTATCATTTAATTAACAGTATAAAACACCTCTTGACTGTGAGTTGCTGGTAGCACTGATGGTATTCAGAAGACTCCCCAAATGTTCAACCATTATACCTAATGTGTGGGATGTGACGAACTTTCCAGCTTTGCAAAGATGCATATTGATTTTTGTCCAAAATAATATTTTTAATTGTATCAATTTATAACCAGGTCATATGCTGGATCAAACTTCCATAACTTTGTAAATATTAATAAGAATGTTCCTTCATACATGAACTGATTTCTTTTTTTGTCTAAACACATATAACTTTTTTTCAGTGCATCTTATCCGTAAGCATTTTACGCTGCATTTTTAAAAAGTGAATGCATACTCTTGTCTTGTTTAAAAGCAAAATGCCTTAAATTACAAATTATTATTAACAAAATGCCACATTTAAAGAGGAAAATGTAATATATATAACTAAATATATCAATATGCACAGAAGGTTTTATTAATCTTTTCTTCCTTTTTCCTCTCAAGTTATCTGGAAGTATTTTGGATGTGTATAGTGGTGAACAAGGAATTTCACCAATTAACATGGGGCTTACAAGTGCTTCTTGTCCAAGTAGTCTACCGATGAAAAGAGAAATTACAGGTAGTGTTGTTTTTATAGTTTTACCTTTTTTATTTTTATTAATGACATAAGTTATGAGTGACATATATTGTGCTAACTAGAATTTTAAAAGTATAACAAAACAGTTACGAAAAAGAAGAGACAGTAAATTCATCATTTCTTTCTATGATAATCAAGCAGTAAGTTAATATAACTTATAGTTTGACTGAATTGATTCATTATTTTGGAAATTGAGCAAATACGTATGTTTTGTACACATATATACATATATACACACACTTATATACATACATATATAAAAGACAGCTTCATTTAACATAGGTTCATTTTTATATTAAATAGATGCCATTTATTAACATGGTTACAAAGTGATATAATAAATTAGAGAAATTAGTCTATTCTTTGTATGCAGAATTTGACAAAAAACAAATATTGGATTTTTTTTCTTTTTAGCTTGTTTTATGGATTTCATGATAGACTCACATTTAATTTTCTTAATTGAAAACAAACCCTGAGTTTTCAATAGTTCATTTCAAAATTGTTACAACTCAAATTATAGGAGCATAGTCAAGTGCTTCCAAAATAAATGAGGAAATCAACCCAGGGTCAAATGAGCTACTTTCCCAAAGGTGTAACAGCTGATTACAGGCAGAACTGGATCAACGTAAGGGTTTCCTGACTTACAAGTCCAGTGTTAGTTCCTCCATAAAAATAAAGTAAATAAATTCACTCGAGATTTCTACAATAAACTTTTGGTCTGGAGCTCAAACACCAGTCTTTAAGAATGTTACATAGTTAATGGTAAAATTTTAAATAAATACAACGTGACCACTCTTAAAGCTCAATCAACAATACAAAAATGTATATGCATCCAAATTATTCAGACTATAATGACTGTAGTTTTTAATAAATACACTTAAATAAAATGTATTATTTTATTAACTTTTTAAATTATAACTCTAATAATATTGTATTATTTTTGTTGCATAACAACAAATTACCCCCGAAATTTGGCAATTTGAAGTAATAAATATTTATAATCTCAAAGTAATAAACATTTATAATCTCATTCAGTCTCTGAGCATCAAGAATCCAGGAGTGGCCTAGTGAATTCGTTCAGACCAGAGCCTCTTATGAGGCTGTAGTCAAGATGTCAGCCAGAAGTACAGACACCTGAGACTTGACTGAGGCTGGAGGATGCACTCCCGAGGTGTTTCACTCAAGGTCTTGTAGGATAGTGCTGCCTGTTGGCAAGTGGCCTTTGTTCCTGACTACTTGGACTTCTTCATAGGGTTGCTTGAGTGTCCTCATGATATGACAACTAGAGATCAAAGAGATGCCAATGTGAAAGTTAAAAATTTCTCCTATTATCTAGCCTTGGATTCCATACTAGTCATTTCCACAACAAGCTAGTGGCTTCACAGGTCAGCCTTATTTATTTAATGTGGGAGGGAACTACAAGATGTGAACACTACAAATTAAGAATCATTGTAGGCCATCCTGGAGGTTGATGGTCATATAAATACAACCACACCATACATACAGGGAAGTGCCATTTACTAGAAGAAAGTGTGGAATTGTTTCATATGGATATTTGAGAAATGTAGTGAGTTCCAACTCTTGGGATGTAGAAACAATAATTATTAATAAAATATTTAGATTGGAGTAATTTCTTTCTGAATCTCAAAATCCTGAAAATAATAATTGAATACTATATTTTCTGTGTACTATATTTCTTTTGGTTATCATAATGATTTTAAGGTAGGTATCGTGTTATAGTCATTTTGCAGATGAAGAACCTGAAACCCAGAGAAGTGTGGCAATAGATCACATGGCTATTAAATGGAGGGCCAGAAAAGAAATTCAGTTTTTATTATCCCAGAGCCTGAAAACTTTGCTATTGCCTTTTACTGAAGAGTACTGTGTTCCAAATTTCTGAATATTTGCATCAAAAATATTATTGTACCATTTAGAGCAAATAATATTTTGTTTTCACCTGAGAGTTCTGAATTTCATTGCCTGGAGGGGTTTTAAGGTAGAACTAAGCTTTGTTTTTATTATTTTTCTTTTGATCAGAAACTGACACTAGAGCTTTAGCAAAAGAGAGACAAAAAAAGGACAACCACAACCTCAGTGAGTATATATTTTTCCATATAAAATTAATGCAAAAGGAAATGCATAGACGTTAAGGTGTATGGTCTTTTATTATACTCCATAAGTATTTTGATGTCAGATGGCCAAAATTAATTGCACATACAACTTGATTTATTTTGGGAAGTATTAACAATGTGAACTCTCAGGAAAGCTATCTATTTTCACAAAATGAAACATCTCGAATTCCCTCCTTGATCATTCACTCCCAAGGAGGCTGCCTGTGACTGAGATGAGTGCATTTGGTTACATTTGAATTCTGTTGTGACTCACTGATTCAAAGGTTTAAAGAGATAAAAGTGACTTTTGAAAATGTACAACATTTAAATAGTAAGAAATATAACTCTAGGTTCCCATTCTTCTGTGTCAATTTGCTCCTCCCTTCTCAATGATATGTTATCTGAAAGGCATTGCTGTGTTGTAGTGCTGAATTCCACCTCTGGAACAAATAGAGCTCTCATGCCTTCCTAAGGGTTAATTAGACTCTAATAACAGGTCATATGAGATGGAGAAATCAGGCACCTCCTTATTCAGGAGGATGGACCGAGGGAAGTGGCCTGCGCAGGCTCTGGAAGTGAGCTCAGGGAATAAGGGAGGAAATTGCTTGTGCTAATAACCCAGAGTATAGTTTAGAAGGGTTCCCTTGGCCCTGTGGCTGCCTTGCTGAGTGGAGAGAGGCATGGCCAGAGAAGGCAAGAGTGCGTCCTCTAAATATTGATCGGAGTAGTAGCCTCTCTTGTCTGGATCTAAGGACAGGATTTAGTGAATATGTCAAAAATGTTGTTGTGTAGTGAAACCACCGTGGCATGAAGTAGTTTAGTAATTTCTTAAAACTTGACTCCTTTACAAATAACTAGTACTAGATATGAACAACATTGGGGAACCAGATTTCTCATTATAATTAGCCATTTAAAAATTCATAGACTACTATCTAAGAAGAGTAGAGAAGAAGGTTCTGACATTCTACATAAGATAGATTTAAATAAAATATCTTAAATAAACATGACAGGACAAAAACAGTCCCTTATTTTGAGAAAAAAAAAACTGTGAACTTGCTTCATAGTTGTTCTTCATCTTGTATTTAAAAGTGTGGCTTATAAGAGTTAATGTGTGTTGACATAAAATTATTAATAAAATCTTATTATTTATATATATGCATATGTTTTATATATACATTTCTATATATGTATATATGTATTATATGTGTGTACATATGTTTCTATTAGCTTTACCTTTATTTTCTAGTCAGTGTTTTTTGTGGTGTCATTTAGCTGTTTTCTGAATTATGTGCACAGGGGAAATAGGATTGGTGAAGAGGGAAAATAAACTCTTACCAGAACCGATTATATTCTCATTTTAGAGGAATCACAATGTATTATTCCTAAAGGTCAAATTCATTCATGTAATTTGCTTTGTAGAGTAAGTTCATCAAGGCAATTCATAGTCTGATGACTTTCCTTGTTTCTAGTAGCAGTTCATAATTCTCAAATGTGAACTGTTTAAGTATTTTCCAACATTAAAAAAATATATTTTCCTCTTCTTCATATCCTTTTCTACCTTTACTTCTCTGAAAGGTTTAAATGTATCTGTTGAAAAAGATACCATATACAAGTATATGTTATGGTTCTTGATATTAGGAATATAGAGTAGAAGACTGCTCTTAGAGAAGAGTAATACAGGAAATTTGACAGATATATGTTTTATGTTGAATATTTACGATGTTCAGAAATTTGCCATAAGCAATGAATGTATGGAAATGCAAAAAAAGAAAACAGTCTCTGAATAAGAGCTGATATCAGTAGTTTTCAAAGCATTGGCCCTACAAAAACAGTATCAGCATCACCGTGAAACTTCTTAGAAATAGAAATTCTTGCCCACTCTTGTCCCCCTACTTCCAGTACACACTCAAATAAGAATCTTTAGGTGTGTGGTGCAAATCTGTTTTAATAGTCCTTCCAGGTGTGTCTAAAGAGTGCCAAAGTATAACAACAAGCTATTTATATATTATTGGAAACTAAAATAGAAAAATAAATTTATAGTCTAATCAATATACATTTATTTACCCCCTCCCGTATGTCAAGCTCTCTGATGATACTAAAATAAGTAAGTTAGGTCCCTGCCCTCAAGGAGGTCATAGAGTCTAACTGGATACACACACCTACTATGTGCTAAACATTGTTAGACTTTGAGGACAGTATATGAGAAGAGTAAAGAGTGTTGCATGACCTCAAATGATTACAATCTTGATGGATTGACAAATTGTCAATGTATGAAATAATCAAACAGATATACATATAAGTATATATATACACACATTGCATTATGAATATTATAGTATTTTAAAGAATTTTAAAAAATGTTTTGTGACAAAATGTTGTTAAAACAGTGTAAATTGTATATTTATAATTCTAATATTGAAACTTTTACTTTTAGAATAAAGAATTTTTATTTTATTCTTGAGAAGTATTATCATTTGACTAAATGGAAAGTTTTTTGCCCATTGTTTTTAAAAGATTATTAAGAAAGTTTACAGCTGACCAAAAGTGAACTGTGCATTAATGAGAATAATCAATAATGTTTCTTCTTTAATAGTTGAAAGAAGAAGAAGGTATAATATTAATTACCGAATCAAGGAGCTTGGCACTCTTATTCCAAAGTCTAATGATCCGTGAGTTCAACAATCATTTCTATAATAATGTTATAATTTAAAGACCCCCAAAAATGAATGGGAGGGAAAAGGGAGGAGAACCAATGACTAGGAAACTAAGCAGCTTATTACAAAAATAAGGCTATTGCTGGGCTCATTTTAAAATGTCTATTCCAGGCTGATTGTTATTGAGCATCAGGGCTGTTACAAGAGTTGTCCGTTTGAGCTATAAGAAGTAAATAAGTTATTTCTCCTCAATTCATAGTGAGTCTTTCTGTAAGGTGACAATATTGTCAAATTTAGTGATAATGTCAAATATTATTTATGATACGGACTGGTATATTCAATTTTTATGAGTATAACAATTCTCCCAATTTAAAATTTGCATGCAAGTGAAAATAGAATTGTTAGATTTTCCAAGGTCCCCAAATTTTGGAGACACACAAGTAACAAATGGAATTGTAAAAGCATATTGATTGATGCTGACCAGGCTTTGTGCTGTATGCACAAAATGTCCATCAGACAAATTACTTACTCTTGTAAATACTGAGAAATAAAGTGTTAAGTTAAAATATTGAATGCTTCTTTAAAAATAGAACACCTGTAATCCCAGCACTTTGGGAGGCCGAGGTGGGCGGATCACTTGAGGTCAGAAGTGTAAGACCATCCTGGCCAACATGGTGAAACTCCATCTCTACTAAAAATACAAAAATTAGTCTGGCATGGTGGCGCATGCCTGTAATCCCAGCTACTCAGGGGGCTGAGGTGGGAGAATCGCTTGAACCCAGGGGGCAGAGGTTGTGGTGAGCTGAGATCATGCCGCTGCACTCCAGCCTGGGCAACAGAGCAAGACTGTGTCTCAAAAAAAAAAAAAAAAAAAAAAAAAAAAAAAAAAAAAAAAAAAAAAAAAAAAAAAAAGTGAAAACATGGAATCTGTAGCATTAATAATGATTTGAAAATATTTCCTTAAAACTGAGAATTATTTTTTCTCCAAATACTGAATATTATTCATTATCCAGAAATGATCATGTTTGATAAAGTCATATTTGTGTGCCAGGCACATTGTCTCATGCCTATAATCCCAGTACTTTGGGAGGGCCAAACAGGAAGATTGTTTGAGGCTGGGAGTTCAAGATCAGTCTGGGTGCAATCCCACCTCTAAAGAGAAAGCAAGCAAGAAGGAAAAGAAAGGGAAGGGAGAGGAAGGGAGGGGAAGGGAGAGGAGAGGAGGGGAGGGGAGGGGAGGGGAGGGGAGAGGACGGGAGGAAAGGGAAGGGAAGGGGAAAGAAAGAAAGAGAAAGAAAGAGCAAGCTGGGCATGGTAGCATGAACCTGTACTCCAAGCTACTCAGGAGGCTGAGACACAGGGATCGCTTGAACCCAGGATTTCAAGGCTGAAGTGAGCCATGATCGCACCACTGCATTCCAGCCTGGGTGATCAGAAGACAAGACGCTGCACCTCCCCGCCCCCCCCAAAATTACATTTGTGAGATTTTGAAGCACTTTTTCTCTAAATCCGAATTTGCTCATTTACTTGGACAATTCAACAATTGATTAGAAAAGAGATACAATATTTGTCCTTATGTACATATTAGACTGTGGTATTTGGGGTCTGAAATGGGTCCTAATTTAGACTGTACTCCAAAACTCTTTAAAATCTTTGAGATTTTGAAGCACTTTTTCTCTAAATCCGAATTTGCTCATTTACTTGGACAATTCAACAATTCGTTAGAAAAGGGAATGCAATATTTGTCCTTATGTACATATTAGACTGTGAAGACATTTGGGGTCTGAAGAGCTCAGGTCTAATTTAGACTGTACTCCAAACTCTTCAAATCTTTTAAAGTATCTAAACATGTGACTCTGTTAGCCAAAGAAAACACTTGTCTTCCCTATATGCCTGTGTTTTTATAAAAATAAAATCAAATAAGGTATATGGGGATAGTTTGCAAGTTATAAAGTTTTATGAGAGATTATTACTCCAAATTTTAATAAAAACTTTATCTAAAGACTCCTTTCTAGTTCTAATTCATTTGCTAGAACATGGGATGGTAAGCATTTTTTGTATAGGGCCAGACAGTAAATATTTCAAGCTTTGTGGGCCACACAGAAAGTCTTTGTCACAATTATTTAACTCTGGCATTGTAGCACGAAAGCAGACACAGACAACATGTGAAGGAATGAGCTTGACCGCATCCAGTGAAATGTATTCACAAAAATAAGCTATGGGCTATAGTTTGTCTACCCTTAGTCTAGAATATGAAAATTCAATTTACTGTAGACTCGTATCTAAAAGAGACCAGAATTGGGAAAACCACATTGCAAGCATTGTTTTTCTCTTCCTTACGAATCTCAGAAAGAAGGGTTATTATTTGTTTTAATTCTATTATGTTGTATGTAGGAAATAACATTTATTTGGGGTCTAATGGAAAACACATTAATTAGATGTCGAGTATGTCTATACATGGATCTTTCTGTATATCACAGATAGAGAAGACACTTCATTGAAATGTGTGGCATTCCAAAAGTCTCAGTACCAATTCTGTTTAAATACATTTTATTCCTTGGCTTGCTGTGGCCTGACCTGTTACTCCCGTGTCCCTTTTTAGGGTTTAGCAATGAGGGTCCCATGGTTGAATCCAGAGCATATCCTCTTAAAATGGACTTTACCTGAGAACCATGGTCTGGCTCCATAGACTAAGGAATACTCGTCTATGTGACAAAATTATTTTGGATCCATTTGTCATATTTTCAAATGTTATTAGGGATAATCTGAAAGTCACAGGAAACAAGAATGCTGGGGAAAGGGAAGGGTAGCATAGAGGAGGCAAATTTACTTTGAGGGTGAGAAAAGGAAAGAAGAAATGACATTATTATGTTATGACAATGAGAAAATTAACAAACAGTGGATCTGGAAAAAAAACAAAAACAAAAACAAAAAAACCCTTCCAAGATTTTAGTTTGAGTTTAACAAATTTTTGAATAACTTGTTGAACAGGTGACTACAACCATTAAAATGACTAAGAACAGTTTTTAAAAATAAAAAGTACATCAGAGTATACAATTGTCTAGTATGAGATACTTCAAATTATGTGCCATACCTATTAATGGGTCATGGAGTCACTCAAATGAGACAAATGCAGCATTTTAAACAAAAAAGGAAGAATAGCATTGAAAATATAAGAGTATTACATGTAAAGAGAATAGGAAAGCTCTGTGAAATCTTTGTTGCAGTTTTATATACTAAGAGTGTGCCAAGTCACTATATAAAACGTATTTCTTGTGGCAGATGCATTTGAAAGGTGGGAAAGCCACAGTTGGCAGAAGGAGTACTGAACTGAGTGAGGAAACCTGGGGCTTATCTCCTAAACCCCATATACTCTTGGGCAAATGGCAGCAACTGTGGCATGGTTGACCTTTGAGTACCTTTCCAGCTCATGATTGGAAGATATTTTGGAGTTGGCTTAGGAAATAAAAGTAAATACCTGAAGATACTTTGAATTCTATGAAGTTTTTATTTTTATGTATCAAAACATTCAGAAAGTTCCATTTCTTTGCAGGTCATAATGGTGAGGTCAGAAGGAAAAGTAATATAGAGAATAGCTGTAATTGAGAAGTATACGTTGAGAAAATTACGTGAAAAAAACCACGACCAGGCAATGACAATCTCTTGACCAGTGTTAAAAAAACAAAACTCCAACAAAAATAACAATCAAAGAGAAAGCATGAAGAGCTTCTACAACATGTAGTAGTTGTCCTCTTTAGCTTTCCTGGAAACACTTGTGTCTGTATGTGTTTTTGTGAGCCATGTTTACAAAAATTACATGAGTAGAAATTTAAAAATAGTATTAGATCATTAATAACTCTATTACTCTTGTTTTCACACTTTAAAAAGTTTTCTAAATAGTTTAAAGTTTTTTTACTTTATCTTTCCTCCCCTCTACAACCAAATTCCTCCTGCTTTTGTGTAAGAATGATAGTTGGCACAGCATATGAGACCTGACAAAGCTTTCTAAGTCAGGAGTCACAAAATGTTGAAGCAAATAAATAAATAAATAAATAATAAAAAAATTCAGACCTGTCATAGTATTTTTTTCTCTCTTTTTAAAAATCTTTTTAAAATTATTTTTTAATGCTTTTAAGTGGATGTGCACTCCTCAGATAACAGATTGTACGTTTTCCATAGCTTTACCTGGCAGCACTCCTTACTTACTCCAATTTATACATTTGTATTATCTGCTCTGACTGTAAATGCATTCAGGCTTTCAATCCACCAAAGTTTTAAGATCTTAAAAAATTGTTGTGCAGAAAATGAAAGGCCAGCATCAACAATCAACACTTATTCTTTAGCCATGCCTTTATTGGTGTGTCTATATATGGTACCACCCTATGTAATATTTATAATGCCTCTTTGCTGAAATTGTTTTGGGAGAGAGGCAAAAGTCTCTTTAGCAAATATAAAAAAATAAAAAATAAATTAGGAAAGAACCTTGTACATTAAAATGTCTTTAAAATAGAGGAACTTAAAAAACGTATTGTAAGTGACATCAGGTACAAATTGAAGGGAGGCTCATTGTGTGTTCTCTACCACCATTTTGAAGATTTGTTTTTGAACTAAATAGTACTTTAAACTTCAAAGTTGTCTAGGGTTATTTATTATTATTTTTTTTTTACATATTTCTCTGTCCTCAAGTTTTTCTTCCCATGGGAAAAAAATGACACAACATAAGCGTCCATAAGGCTTTTGCTACTACTTAAATTTTAGTTTAGAGTCCATTACACGATTCAGTTACAGATACTTGGTTTAACACCAAAGATAGCCTGTCTCTCCCCACCCTTCCCACCACCACCATCCCACCCATTCCCCTCAGCCCCCGTGAGTGGAGTGAGACCAACAGCCATTATAACCTTAAAGAAATGACAAAGCATTTTCAAACTTGCGACGTCCATTGACAATGTTTTGGTGCACTGCAGTAGAACAGAGCTCTTATCCAGGCTCCAGTAAGTATTTTCACCTGCTAGTAGAAAAATGTCTCTTCTTTTAATATTTTACTGCTAATGGCATTGTCTCATCACTAAAAATATATGTAGAAAAATGTTATGTTTCCCTACCTGTGTGCTTTACGCTATATTAAAAACATCTCATGACTCTAAATTAAAAGTGCATCCAGGTTTTCCAACAACTCTGATTAACACTTAGCAATTAGTTTGGACTCATTCTGCAAACATATTATTATTTCTCATGCAGTATTACATTCATTAATGTATATTTTCAGATATCAAACTCAGTAGCCTCTTCCACAATGTCATAGCTTTAATTTCTTCTGTCTTAAAAGTAAGTTTTAATGAAATGATTTCTTCTATGCTAAAGCCTAAAAAGTTATCCAGTAATGTTTAATTATATTTACTTATCTTAAATGTATTTAAAAACAGCTACTCATATCAAGCCTTTAAAAAGTTTTGATGATGTTTGTACAGAAAAAATGGCTGAATGGTTTTAGAAAGTTTGCTCTATTACATAAAGTGATGTTGCCAGAGTCTGATTTGTTTCACAATTGCTCAGGATCACCATTCAGGAGGGACCTTATTTTTTTCTTAGAAACATAAAAGCAACCTTATTAGAAAGTAGGTTAAAAGATTGCTACATTTGAAATGATCTTAAAAAATTTAGGCTTAAGTCCTCAGTAATGTACATTTCCTAGTTCATTAATGCAGAAATACTGCACATAGATTTTAATCTTGGAGTTAATAATAAAAGCAATTTTCACTAAAAATATAAAAACTGTAATGGTAGAATCATGATATTGCATTTAGCTCTCCCACAAAAAGTCACTTTATTACTTTCTTTTGACACTTATTTTCATTCTGGGATTAATTTTACTATATAAGGGCTTCTTAACTATTCTATTAAAATTTCTATTCAGAAGCAATAATATCTAAGAGTGAATAATAGTCATGTAAATCATTATTTCATATTAATGTAAAAGATTTTGTAAGTTCTTATGAATTCTGCTGACATGCACAATTGTGAAAAGGTTATCTCTCCGTTCTACAGTGATATGCGCTGGAACAAAGGAACCATTCTAAAAGCATCAGTGGAGTACATCAAGTGGCTACAAAAAGAACAACAGAGAGCCCGAGAATTAGAACACAGACAGAAGAAATTAGAACAGGCTAACAGGCGACTTCTACTTCGGATTCAGGTTTTTATAAGAATGTTGCCATGAGCCACATAGCTTACATATGACTCAGCTGTCATCAGTTTTCTTCATTGGTCTCATTTATTTTTTCTCTTATTAACAATTATTTTTCCTTTTGAAGGATAATTTTACTGCTTTTTAGAAGTTCGTGAATTGGATTGTTTCAATTAGGTTTTGACTAGAAATCCAGGATCAAGATAGCTGAAAATGTATATATGTATATACACATATGTGTCTATATGTGTGTGTGTATATATATACATATATAATAACAACAAATTACAAAATGCACAAAATATAACACATTTCATAAATGCACACATTATTATCCCAATCAAATAATAATACTAAGTAGAACGCTTGTTTCTCTAGATTATATTGGACATTAAATTCTCCCCTCCTTCTTTCATTTCTTTCCCGACATTGCTATGGTTTTCATTGCCTCAAGGAGTGTTGTGCCAGTTTATATTAAGTCACTTCTCATCTGTTCATATAATCCAAAATATCAAAACATGGGCTTTTATAACTCTCAAGATTTTTTAAAAATGTGAGTATGCTTAGCACCAGGTAAAGCATTTACTGTTTCCATGAAAAGGTCCTGCATTTATGGTGAGAAATTAATCAGGAAGAATAAATAGATGACTTTCGGCTATCTCCAAATGGCTGTATTATAGTCTGAGCCACTGTGGAACTATCATCAGTCATAAATTCCTTTGTAGAACAATGAGACCGAACTTAAAAAAAAACTGAATAATTTTCTCAGAGTTATTTTTCAGACATTAGAAATGTATCAATTTCATTATTTGCAAAGATTATTCATAATTTGCATTGCATTATTCTTCATTTTAAATGCTTGTTAATATTTTGATTCTATGTCTGGCTTATTCTCTACTGTTAAATCCAATTTCAAAGATGTTATTTAATGATTCTCGTTTGAAATTACAGGAACTAGAAATTCAGGCTCGTACTCATGGTCTGCCAACCCTGGCTTCACTTGGCACGGTTGATTTAGGTGCTCATGTCACCAAACAGCAGAGCCATCCTGAGCAGAATTCAGTAGACTATTGCCAACAACTGACTGTGTCTCAGGGGCCAACCCCTGAGCTCTGTGATCAAGCTATAGCCTTTTCTGATCCTTTGTCATACTTCACAGATTTATCATTTAGTGCCGCATTGAAAGAGGAACAAAGATTGGATGGCATGCTATTGGATGACACAATCTCTCCATTTGGAACAGATCCTCTGCTATCTGCCACTTCCCCTGCAGTTTCCAAAGAGAGCAGTAGGAGAAATAGCTTTAGCTCAGACGATGGTGATGAATTATAAGAAATAAGCAGACCCAATTCATCAACTGGAAAGCAGTTCTATGCTGGTGCTATGCAATTATGCTCTGTGTTTCATATGTTGCTTTGGCTTATTTTTTTCCTAAAGGAATGTGGTGTTCATGGAAAACTGATAGAAGCAACAGAAGAATTCGCAGGAAGAAAAATCATGGTGTTAATGAATTATTGAGGGTGGAAAAAAGGTGTTTTCTTCTTTGACTACAGAGTCCAAATCCACTTAAATTCTGTTTTACTGGAAAGAGGTACAGCATAAGAAATAGCTCTTTATTGATGCTTTAAAAGCAGCAACTTGGTGGTGTACTACTGGAACTAACGACTGCAAAGTGTAAAATGACTGAAATATACAAACCGTCTCTTAGTTATTCATTTCCATCTTCTCTTCAACTTTTACATCAGTCTTCAAGAATCAAGATCAGCATATCAGGTGGTCATTGCCTTTCTCCATTGTCTAGTAGATACGTCTAAAGTTCAAACTTTATAGGAGAAATAATGATATAATAGATTATCTGTCACTTGCGGTTGAAAAGCAAATCTACAATAAATGTGAGAATTTTCCATAATAAAATATGGATGACTTATAAAAACATTGGTTACTAAAATTAGATCCTCATTTCTTTAGTTGGTTCAATTACACTAATTCTAAAAGCATCCATGCATATTTATATCTCCAGACTCTGTTCAGGAAAAGGAACACATTCAATATTTTTCTCAGGAATATGGACCAGAATTGTATCCCTTCACACAAACATACACCCACAAGTATGCACATAATTCAGGTAGTACATGTTCTTTTGTTTTCTTCATTCTTCTGACTGCATCAGAATCACATTCCAAATTCTCTTTTCTTTATTAAGAAGAGATGTCAGACCATCAGTTTTAATAAATAAAATATAAAATGTGCCCCTACAAGGACAGTTTTCAGGCACTTAAAACTTTTCATCATGTCCAGTATTGGACAGAAATCAATTAGTTGTTGATTTGGTTTTGCTCCAAATGGATAAAATATTGAAAATCGAATTGCCAATTGGCAAAATAATTATTATAAAAGAAACTATTCCTTATTATTTTCAGTTCTGAGAGGAACATAAGGTTCTATTTCTATAAGCACTTAGTGTGTCTTATGATCTTTGGTTGCACTGTTAGCATTTATTGTAAGCACTTATAACTACGATGCTTCATTTAGATTTTTATCTCTTGCGCTTGTTTTAGGTTAGCAAATTAAGTTACCAAGCACCTTGCTCTGTGCTGGACCTCCATGAGTGATCATCCGATTAATCAGTATTTATGGAGGCGTACTGAGAACTGCAGTGAGTCCTGAGAAAATGTAGAATAGTTGAAAAAGAGATGGCCTTACTCCTGAGGTAGTTAACAAGAATGCATGAAAAACAAAAACAAAAGATAGAAGACATATAAAATAAAAAATCTAAGCATAAGCTGTAAATACAGAAGGTCAAAGAAAATGAAAATGAATGACAAAGTTTATGGGAACAGCAGAATTTGACTTCTCTTTGAAAGGCATTAATTGAGTGAAAGTGAGGGCATATAAAGGAATAATATCAACCAAATGATAAAAGTGAGAATAATTGGGAAAGTATCTTTATAGGACTTGCATTAGAAAAATCTGGATGCCCTAGATGTCGGGAGTTCTGAAGCATAAGACTGACAACAGGTTGTGAAGGCCCTTAAAAACTATGGTGAAATAATATAGTATTAATATAATAGAAGCAAATATTTTTAGTAGCCGGGAGGATGCTAAAAACTAAAACATACATTACTAACTTGAGTGAGATGTAATCTTTCATGAATATTAAGCTTTGGGATAACTTTTGAAAGGATCTTTTAGTTATTTCTCACATGGAAAATATGTTACTATAAAATGTGAGACCCTAATGCTGATAAAAGTAGAAAAATAGTAGATCCTCATGGTATAATAATTATCTCAGGCTTAGTTTGTATCATTTGCCTAGATTTTGGAGAATTAAAATAATTTTATTGTTTGACATGGAAAAATAATTACTAACTTCTGGGTATAGTCATTAAAGCCTGATAGATAAATTAATCTGAAATATGCCATGTGAAACAGCTATTAGATACATCTTCTCAATAATTTTCAAGAAGATGTTACATACTTTTAATTTTATAACAGAATTCCACTTCGTTATCTGAGTTGATAATTTGATTAAATGTCAAAAAGTATAGATAAGGAATATATTTTGGAGTTCATGGAAAACACACCAGTTTATTAGATAGAGACAGGCTTCAGTTCTCATTTTATCTACTCTTCTCATTTCTTCATATTTTGAGTATCCTTGCACCGATGATGTCATTACTCAGTCATTATTTTCCATTCTGTTAAGGTACAACTACTGGGCCCTGAAACCTATCCTTCACAATCTTGGATGATAGAACCTGGACGCAGATAGATCTGGAGAGGGAACTGATATTTGCTGCTACATTTAGATTATGAGATGTCAGGGAACTGTAAAATGGGTAATGAACTTTTAAAGAGAGTAAAGAGTTGTGCTGTGTCCCAGTCAACTGAAATAGATTAAAAATTAATTAGATGGTAGTTATTAATTTTTTATTTATTTATTTATTTATTTTTGAGACGGAGTCTCGCTCTGTCGCCCAGGCTGGAGTGCAGTGGGGCGATGTCGGCTCACTGGAAGCTCCACCTCCCGGGTTCACGCCATTCTCCTGCCTCAGCCTCCCGAGTAGCTGGGACTAGAGGCGCCCGTTACCACGCCCGGCTAATTTCTTTTTTGTATTTTTAGTAGAGACGGGGTTTCACCGTGTTAGCCAGGATGGTCTTGATTTCCTGACCTCGTGATCCGCCCGCCTCGGCTTCCCAAAGTGCTGGGATTACAGGCTTGAGTCACCGCGACCGGCCAGTTCTTAACTTTTTAAGGCAGATCCCTTGAGAATCTAATGAGTTATAGACCCTCTCCCTAGAAAAGTATAGAACAGTTTATATGGACAACAATTTGCATGCACTCAGAGATCTTAGGGACCTCCTGAATGTTTTCTTGGATCCCAAGTGAAAAATTCCTGAATCAGGTCTGTTAGGTGTGCAGTTAATATCATGTATAACGATGGGGGGTCCCCTACTTATCTAAATATAATTATTCCAACCCTAATAATGAGGAGGTTGCATAGGAAAGTAGTAGTGTACCAAAAATTAGATTAGTCACTAAAAATGTTGTTCATTTATAAAGTAGTTGTTTTTCAAAATGTCCTCCCCACTCAGCAAACTACGCCTTCTATTTATTATATGTGGGTCAGTTTCACTATAATTACTGAGGGTTATAAACATCTGACCATAACATTTCAAAATGATGCAAATAAATTTCAAAACAAAAATAATGTGAATTTAAAAGCAAATTATTTGACTATCTAAGATTCAAGATAGACCCTTAGAAAAATTTATGACTCTCCAGAATATTTTTTGCAGAAAGGAGATTTTTCATAATAGTAAAAGAGGCATATTGTTTATCAAACAATGCTGTCGTAAAAAGCATCAACTGTAATGGGACTATTAAAACACAATATATCGATTTGTTCATTCAATTAATATACAATTATACCTTTTCATTTAAAGATTTAATTCATAATTACAATTATAATAAAACTTACTTTAAAGTAAGAAATAATAATGTTATTGTTTTTCATTCTTTTTTCAATAAAATATCCCATCCAATCATTTTTTATATTATTAAGTGTTGGCTGCTTTTTCATGGATTCACATTAAACAGCCCTTTCCACTTTCCAATTAGCTTAAAATAATGATGACCTACTGTTAGTAGATATAGCTCTTTACAATTTCTTTTCTTTAGTACCTTTTCTTCTTGAATTTTTCCTATATCAAATGGGGAATATATGTACAGATGGTATTTCCTCAGTTTATAGGCATATCAGTGACCATGGCTTTCTTTACATAGGTTTACAAAAAGCTCTAAATAATAAATAGCCAGATGAGCTGGGGACATTGAGAAATAGCCTTCCTCTTCCTTTTTCAACTCATTTTTTCCCACCTACATGACTGTAAATCAAATATTTAATAGCTCTTACTTAAAAAAAATAGATACAAAGAATGTCTTGATTTGGTGTGCTCATTTACCATTATGTCATGAGAAGAGTTAGATTTCACAACTTTAAAAGGAATATATTTTTATTTTATTTTGAAAAACTGAGTTGTATAGGACTTTTCTTATACTTCAAGGTATCATGAAAATACTTTTTTCCTGTTTGAATATTGTGGAATTTAAACATTTCAATAAATAAATGGCATAACTAAGTGTTTCAATCTTCTGTCTTTTTTTTTTTTTTTTTTTTACAATGTCTTTGACCCTATTCAAACATTTTAAGTATTTACTGATATGTAAGTAAATATCATCTTACATATACATCTGATATGTAAGATGTGGAATAAAACTGGAATCAGTTAATTATTTCACTGTGTTATCAGCACAAGATCAACCATCTGGGTTTCTTAAAAACACCTGAAGGATTGAATTTTGTTTCAGTATTGATAATGGCATAGTCTCTATGTACTACATGGAATTACATCATTTACCCCTCCAGTGCTCCATATGTTGATAAGTATGTCAGTTTGACTTAGTATACATATATACAGAGATTTCATTACATTTGCCTAATAAATACTAAATACATTTCGAGTGTTACTGATCTCATACGTTATATGAGCCTCCAGTAATCATCGTGCATTCATGTTCTAATATTTTATTATTTGTATGAATTTTAATTTGAAAACAAGGAAACAATTCAAAACCAGAAAAAAAAAATAGCTTCTCTTAGAATTTTCAGTGCTACATTTTCCCTCTGAGGTCCATAGAGAATTTGAGTGTATAGGAGATTATCAGAAAACAGCTATTTTGATTAAAAAATATATTCCCCAGGATTCAACCAACTTAACAATGAAATACTATTGTCTACTGCTTTATACATAAAAGGGAACTTTTTATCTGCTTGTAAAGGGATTTTTATGTGCATTTCTGCATAATCAGATGATTTCTATTGTGTTTTCTACTGATGAAATTCTCTGTAAAATGTCTTTTTCTTACGTTATCCAACAGGCATAAAGAATAACAGTAAAGACTTTTGTGTTTGTAATACTACCTCTTTTACCCCTGCACTACTGTTTTATTTCAAAAATTCTATATTTTCAACTGTATTTTTTTCCACAGAAATAAATTTTGTTTTTGTGTTAAAGCTGGTAGTTTATGTAGCAAACAAAACATACAGATAAAAGAAGAGACTGATTTTGCTGAAAGAATTATATATAATCAGGAAGTTACATATTGTTCTTTAAATATGATACTGAAGTTTAAAAGCAAACTAAATTCAAGAATCTTATCTAACAGCATAGCAGTTGCTTATGGCATACAAGGCTAAAATTAATTCTGCTATTTAATCTTAATAATTATAATGTAGTTAAAAATCTTTCACTTTAATAGTGTTTTACATATATGAATAGCTGAAGTAACATTCCTATAATTTTAATCTAACATTGGTTAGATCAAGAAAACATTTAATATAATAAGACTGTAGAATTTGTAATTATTGCTA